ATCTGACGAGCCCCCTCCATTTGTACGTGTAGATTTGGACACACTGATACAAAATACACTGGGATACATATGTACTTACTATAGCACACACACACACACACACACACACACACACACACACACACAAACAAACACAAACACATTTACATGGTATGCATATTAATGTAATACACATATACAACACATGCATACATGGCATATTAATGTGCACACACATCAAGCAGAAATGTGAGACATGCTTACACACATTCTCGTGGCCAGACTTAAGCTATTATATAAATAAATGCAGGGACTGTTAGATGTGTATACAGCCTTTTTCCACAGATGAAGATTTCAACTGCTTAGACTTGAAACCTGAAAAAGAATGAAAAGTCCGTTGGTCTCAAAGACTTGACTGGATTGCAATGTGCTTAGTAAATAGGGGACTTTTCAACAGATTTACATACACATGCACACACCAAATACAGACAAGCCTTCAGACAGATGGGCACTGTAAACAGCATTACCTTCATCGTATAAGAGAACTTAAAACTACTACATGATGTGAGGTTAAAGTGCAGTTTGTATTCACGTCCCCTTAAAAAACGGAGACCGAATCCAAACACATGCAAACAGCTCTGATTGAAAACAGAACTGTATCTTACTGTGTATGTTAAGTTTGTTTTTTTCTGTTTGTTTGTATGTATGGTTTTAATTTTTTGAACAGTGAAAATATTGAAAATTGTCATTGTTCTGTTTTCAAAATGCTGACCTCCTACTGTTGTATCTCACGCACTCTTTCTCTGTTATTCTCTCTTGAACATGTTTGTTACTGTTGCAGTGATAAATGTTAAATTGCTGGCAGTTTGAGGCTATGTTGCATTTCTCCATGTGTCGACACTGCGCGCGGTGTCACACACACTATATGGACATGAGTATGAGTGAGACTGAGACCAAGTAAGTGGATTAAACCACCACCGTTGTTGTGCGTGTGTGTGTGTGAGGATAATGTGTGTGTGTGCATGTTACTGCCTGTCATAATGTGGGCAAGGCTGCTTACTATACAGAAGGTCTATACAAAAATGTTTTGAGTGCATTCGGTATACTGCTGACTGTGTGTTAAGAAATATTGGCACTAATGCTTTTTTCTCTCATTTGAAGTTGTTTTTTTTTTTTTTTAGCAGACTTGTCTTTTTTATTGTCCGACCTGCAATAATAAAAAAGAACATTTTAATGACACAAAGAGCTGAAGGCATATGCGTTGAGAAAATGGACATGCCAAATCTTATCAAACTGTGTGGAGCGGGAGGGAGGGGTGGGATGGGTTGTTTACAGATGCAGAGTAAGAGTTACCGTACGTTTTTAATGTTCTGTTGTTGTGTATTCGTTTTAAATTAAGACAGGCTTTAACACTCCTGTTCAGTGTTTTCGTTATGAGATTTTACAAAGGAAAAATTTATTTAAACAAATGAGAACAAGATTAATAAAGATGAAAGTATTGGCTTCTAAAATTGTCCTTGTGGTCATTTTTGTGTGTGAAGTTAAAATATGGAGATTTGTGGCAGTATTTATTTGTATGAGCAGTTTGATCATCCATGTGTAAATGTGTAATGTGTAAATATGAAACAACGTCCACTAATACAAAAAATAATTGTAAACTCACAAAAATGAAACAGATCATCTAATACACAAATTTCTAAAATTAAAAAGAAAAATAATGCACAAGCATAGAATTGAGATTTTTTTTTAAAAAAAATTGCAAATATACAATACCAGCATTTACAATTCTATAAATGGGAAAAAATTTTTACAAATCTCTTTAATTTATATAAAATGTATTGATATAATTGTTTCAATATTATTTATGTGAGCAGTTTGACAATCTGTGTGTAAATGTGTAAGATGTAAATATTAAACAACTTCCACAAATACAAAAATAATTGTAAACTCAAAAATATTTTGCAAAAATAGAAAAATATCTAATACAAAAATTTTATTTATTTTTTTAAATCCACAAGCATAAAGTAAAATAAAAAAAATAAATTATAAAATTAATTGCAAAAATGCTATTCACAATTCTATAAATTGTAAATATTGGAAAAGATATTAGATTTTTTTTTTTTTTGGTAAAACACAAACACATTTTTAAAAAGTGTGAAAAATGCAAATTCACAAGTGTATAATTGACATTCACAAAAAAGGATTATTTAAAAAATATATATTTGAAATTTGGAAAATGTGTGTAAGATATTCACAAATGTTTTTCATCTATTTAAAATATGGAAATATATATATGTTTCAATATTATTTAGATGAGCAGTTTGACAATCCCTGTGTAAATGTGTAATCTGTAAATATATATAAAAAATATAAACTTCCACTAATACATAAAAAAATCACAAAAATAATTTGCAAATATAAAACGTGCTAATACAAAAATTCCAAAAATTAAAAAAAAAAAACTTGGTGTTTGTAAATTGCAAATCTGCAAGAGTAGAATAAAGATTCAAAAATAAAAACTGGATTCACTTTATTTCATTTATTTGTAAATTAATTAAATGTATTCACAGATATTTTTTATTTATGGAATTTATTTATTTGCAGCTGTGTTTTATATTTGCACAAATCTTTTTTTTTTGTATTTGTGGAAGGTGTTTTATATGTACAGATTACACATTAACACACGGATTGTCGACCTGTTCACACACATAATATTGACACAAATCTATCTCCATACAAAAAGAAGTAGTATTTTGTGTTAAGCACTTTCTATGTTAAACTAATCCCAGTTTGAAACTCCTTTTATCTGTTCTGGTGTTGAGGTCTCTGCTGATTCAACAGCTGCAACACTCTGCTATAATGTATATGTGGACACTAAGCACTGCTCAGTATGTTGACAGTGCATAATAATGCTTTGTGCATGTCACAGTTATAAGCATGACTTTACATGAAGGGAAAGGCGTCAGGGCTGTTCATAGGCAGGGCCACAGGACAACAAGCCAGTGTGTCCATCTGTCACCCTCTCATTACATCTGCACACCAATCCTATTTAACACCCACGTCATCCTACAGTAAGCCACTGCGTGCTGTATGAAATCATTTACCTTCTCTGATGCAGGGTTTTGTTGTGTCCAGTGGACAAACCGTTACCAACAAAACAGTTATTATAGACCACATGTTTGTTCCATAGATCTAAGCCCAAGTTTAAAGGATTTCCTAACATATGACAGGTCTATTATCACGTGTGAGCAGATAACCAGAATGAGCTCTTTCAGCATAACCACAATTTGTTGGACACATGAAGCCCCCAGATGTCTTTGGCTTCAGAGGACGTAGGTGTGTACATCCAGCCATATGAGTGATACTGAGCGAGATTTCAGGCTTACCAAGACTTCAGTTGGGAGATGGCTGGTATGTGCCAACTGATGAATAATCTTTCTTGATCACAGGCAGTGGTGCCCCCAGAAATCTTTCATAGGGGTGGCCAGATGGGGGTAATCTTGGGGTAGCACACCAAAACCAAAAGCCGTAACATGAGAGTTAAGAATGTGCTGTGATATACTTTATTTTCTCTTCTTATAGTTAATGTTACCACTTATCTGTTGCACACAGGTCCATACCGGTGCAGATAACATTTTGTGTTCTACAGCAATCCTGTTTAAAGGAACAGTGTGTAAGATGTAGGAGGATTTAGTGGCATCTAGTGGTGAGGACTGAAAATTGCAACCAGCTGAAACGTCTTCAGGATAGATTTCCCTCAGTAATCATTGCTCAGGTTTTTATCTGGAGTCAAATTAGCCACAGAGGCATCCTCCTCTCCAAAACAAACAAACCATGACGGTGCAATTGACCCTTAGCTAAGTTCTGCCCCCGGACACAGACTGGCCAATCATAACGTAGCATTGGGCCGGCTATACGTTTCTTCCCTGTTCCAGAACCAAAATCAAACCCTGAAAAGTGTAGGGTTAGCTAGCTAGCTACTGAAGATATAGCCTACTGAATGTTTACACTTGCTGCTTTTGCTTTTTAATGATTATAACAGTGAAACAAAGACCGACCCTGCTGTACAGGAACCAGTGAAGGGAAGCAGGGAAACGCTGATCTGTGATCTGTAGCCTATAGTTTGGTTTTAGCTTCGAAACTATCTTTGTCTTTTTATGTTTTTTGCATATACATGTGTTAAGTCATTCAAATAGGATTGTTTTTATTTCCTTAAAATGACAAAAATGCTTTAATTCAAGAGTTGATTGTAAAGAATAAGACATTTACCAGGCCTCTTATTATTTTCAGTTATTTTCAAGGAGGGTAAACAACTGTATTAGGGTGGCCGTGGCCCCCTCTGGCCACCCCTGGGCAGTGTCACTGATCACAGGAAAAATATATTTCTGTTAACATAAGGTAATTGTGATACTGCTCACATAATAAACACAAACAGTGTGATTCAATTTTATTTTATTTTTTTTATTCTTTACTTGTTTATTTGAAAGTAGATACAATGTGTACAGGTTTCTAGCCATGGCTAATGTTTAACCGCCGTCCCTGGTTGGGCTTTTTTGAATTAAAATGGAGCATGGAGTGATTCCATACAATAATGCATGTGGAATTTACAGAAATACGTTAATCTTTGGGTCTAACTCTCTGTACACTCTATTTTTCCTCTTTATTCTTAATACTGCAAGGCTTTCTACCTCCCCAGGAATATATTTTGCACATTCCTGCCTCACTCCAAAAACACCAATATGAACATTGTATTTTAAACAGTATTTTTTAATATATCATTTTTTTGTTCTGTGTATTAGTATTTCTTTTCTGTGCACCAAAAAACTTTTATGTGGAAATCTACTTGGCATAAACAGGATTGCAAACTGTATCATGACTCAAAATGAGTAACGGGAAAAAAGCGGGATAACCGTTGAATGATCAGTTTTCTAGAGGAAGAAGCGGATCTGTGTGACGTTCTCCTTTAATGACTGTGCCCTGACATCCAGAGGATGACATCATCGACGCCGTGAACGGGCGCGTTGTTAAGTAACGAGAGGGGGAGACAGACTCGAGTGGAGAACGGCCGCCTGTGCTGCTGGAGCTTCTCAGGGACTATCAACAGGGAGTGCAACCGACGACAGAGCTACGAGCTGGGGGTATGAGAGCCGCCAGAATCCGCTCCCATCCTCCTCTGCCCAGGCCCCTGTCCGACTGACAACCATCGGATCAGAACCTCCACGGAACCAGCTCTCCGACGAACCCAATATCGGGTGAGTAGTGGGTCCGGGAACCAGAGAAACCGAGGGGGAAAAGGGGCCCGATTCGGCCGAATCAGACTCTCGTATTCACGGCTTACAGGCGAAGGGGGGAGGGGGCGCGTAGTAGGGATGGCTATCTTACACAGGCTAGTCTAGAACATAAATGGGTGCGGTTTTAACTATAACACAAATATGGCCAAGTGTGATAACGCTTTAACGTACACATTTACAGCTTTATTTAATTTGGAAAATAACTGGTGCAGTAACGTACGTATCACGGCTCGGTTAACATATCTCTACTAGCTTACTCTAAGCTAACAGGGAACTAACGTAAATGCCTTCGGCTGGTGTTTTAGCTAACGTTAGCTAACGTCTTTTTAAACACAATAGCTGTTATAGCATTTTATCAAACGTAGCTAATATTAGCTGTAGCAAATATTGTAACGTGAAATCGTATCTGACTCACTGGAATTAAATTAAAACCAGGAAAGAGCAACGTAGTTAGACGCCTGCCATTGCCGTGAAAGACAATATTGAAGTGTAAGTTAATTTTGTGAGTTAGGTTTGTGTGAATGCGTGAATTTAACGTCGAGTTTGTAACACACGGGCTGGTTGTAGAGTGACAGCTGCCTGAGTGTGAGAGGCGTAGCACTGTTTTTCATGTGATTGTGAAATCCTCTGGTTTTGGGTCTGTGACACTTGTTTTCTTGTAAAGAGGACTTATTTTGACACTTCCCATGTTTTGCACTTCCTGAACAAATGAGTCTGATTACATACAATGAAATATAACACAGAAAGAAATATTGAATTATGTCTCACTTGGGAATTTAGTTGATTGTATTAATTTAGAGATGTTACACCACCTCCTTGGGACATCCTCCTCCAAGCCTCCCCCTTAACCAGCACATATGGACTATAGCTTGTTAACCACTGGTCTGTGGACCTTACTATCATAATGGCACACAATGTCACTCTAGATGCAATGTGCTTATTCAGCGTATTCGACTTGCTTCACATCACACATGCTATCTTCTAGACATCAAATGCATTCCTCACATTGCTGCTAAGTTTTCCCCATACATTTCTGTGCAATTCACCCTCGCTAAGCTCTTTAGTGTGACCACATTAGGGTGCATGCAAATGGAAACCACATGGACACACTGTTAAATATGCAGCGAAACACTGTGCGGGTTTAAAATTGTGTGTCACCGTTCCCGTACCGAGCAATTAATCAATGGCACTTAACGGTGTAGCCTTGTGATTAATGTTGCTCCCTGAATCGGGTCCCCTGGCTGCAGCACATGAGACACCCTCCTGGTGTAATGAAACCTAACCCTTTGTTAACCCAAATCCATCTGCCTCCATCACGTCCGCCGTGGCAGGTTGTCCTCATCAGGGCAGGGGCAGGGATACTCGGCTTGCTTTGTCTGGGGGGCACTCTTGCAAAATGACAGGAGGCTAGGGGCCAGTTGATAAGCAAACATTAATAATATATAGCAGTATATAATAAAGAAATTGCCTGTTTTAAACCATAGGAAATTTGCTGTTACACAGGGGTGTTCCTAGTATTCGAGGACGTTCGGGGCTTAGCCCAAACCTCTGTTGGGGAGTCTTGAAAATCCTCCCTTGGCCCTTTATATTAACATAATCAAGCTTTATTTTGATGTTTTTGTCTTGCACAAGTACAGAAAAAATCCAATTATGAATCAGTCTATTTTCATTATGAATTTAAAACTAGACAATGAGCCACCAGGCACTGTATCGCAAGCTATACTAAGAGAGTATCCCTACTCTAGGGACTACTTTTTATAATATTTTCATTCAGCTGGTGTTTTTATTTTAAATTAGGGCCATGCAATGCAAGTTGTTCTGAGTTTGAAGGTTTTAACAAGGCTCCTGTGGTCTGAAATGATAGTATGTCAGCCATCATCACTGTTTGAGTAGTTTCAAAACAGAGCTGGTGTCTGTCTGCAGCTCTTTATTTAATCCCAACTGCATACAATCAAGCAAAGTAACCTCTGGGATAATTTATGTTGAGTTCTGGATGAAAGTGGACTGAATGCAGAGGACTGGTTCTGCAGAATCAGTGACTCTTCTGCAAGCTTGAATTGGCATGTCAACAAAAGTGAGGTTTCTGAGAATGTGTTTTGCAATTTCTGAGTTGTCATGAGACTTTCTATAGAGGGTGGGGATTGAGGCAGCAGTCAGTAACAATGATACGGTCTATTTCATATATCGCCTTGTTGATATGTCAATAGGTCACATGACTGGGAGTGTTATTTGAAAATTCAGCAGTGCTATATTTGGATGATGCTATAAAGAGCACACTGTTTACACGGTGTTCCCAAATTGGTTGCGAGGAAGCAAATCTCGTTGATAAATGATGCTCTCCGTTGATTCGTTCTCTTCAGCATTTTCCTGTCTAAAGTTCATCGCACAGAACTGTCTCAGGGCCTTGACACAGATAAAACCAGCCATCGCTCCACGGCCGCTCATGCCTTCCCTCCCCTGGCAGCACACGTACAGAACAGCGGAGAGCTTAGTCTTGCTTTTGCAGTGGCTGCACAATGTGGCGTGGCAGAGAGAGTACTAAATAAATGATGATCTGCTCCAGCATCACGTGCAGTTCAGCTCATATGATGCACTGTGCCAAGTCTTAGTACTCATGCAGCAGTTGTGATTCTGTTCCTCTCGTGCTCCAAGTGGCTACTGGCATTTCTGTGCAGCCCTTATTTTGCTGTATTTCTCTTTCCTCCCTTCCCTGCTTTTGCTGATCTCACTGCAACCACCTTCCCCTCCCGGCTACCCTACAAATCTAATCGTGTGTTTCTGGAGGCCAGACAGCTGTTTGCAGATCAGCGAGCCCTGCTCAGGCTACATTCTCACACAAACACGTGGTTACTTTAGTGCGTCTGGGATTGACGGATCATCATGTGAGCAGCTGACTGACTCTTGATGATACCTTCTCTCATTCCACCGCTCTGGGAAAGTCGAGGAAATAATCCTATGTTATATTGAGTTGAGTTGTACAGGAGCTCATCCTATAATGTTTCTGAGTATGTGGTGAGAGAGAAAAGTGGCACAGCCCACATGAGCTAGCCTGGTGTCATGTGTTCTTTGCCTTGTTAAAATCATCTCTGTTTGTCTGTTGGTGACAGTGACAACTCGCAAACATGGAGCTGAGAGTGGGGAACAAGTACCGGCTCGGGCGAAAGATAGGGAGTGGTTCCTTTGGCGACATTTATCTTGGTAAGTGTTAACAGACACTGTTCTTTTTTTTTGTTTGTTTTTGCATGACTTACACAACTTTCCACGTGTCTCCTCTATTAAGGGTCTTTCCACAAAAGTTTCTGGACAGTCTCTCTTTTCATACTGTACCATTAATTTTTTTTCCCCTATGCCTGGGCACCAAGCGTGATTTTCCTTCATACCCGTCTGCCATTTGCTGTGGCTCTTTACAGCTTTTGTTATACCTCTGCTTGTCTCCTCAGGTGCCAACATTGCCACTGGTGAGGAGGTAGCCATCAAGCTGGAATGTGTGAAGACCAAACACCCACAGTTGCACATTGAAAGCAAGTTCTACAAGATGATGCAAGGAGGAGGTAAGGAGCGGATGTTGCTTTGACAGGCTTGGCGAGATTTTTTTTAAGCATTCCTTATCATATTTTATGTCCCTGGCAGTATTGCAGATGCGTATACCCTACTAAGCCTGCTGGAAAGATGTAGAATAAATTATTTTAATAAGATTTGACAGAGCGATGGTCATCTTTTCTACATAGTTGTGATGTAAATCCATTCTAGGTGAACATATAGATGAATAAAGGCGTTTTCAAGAAATCGATTATCTTGTGTAAAATGTACAAGGTTAAAAAAAAATGGATTTGTGTTTGTTGCAAAATTTGTTACACGGCAAATAATATAAACAAGAGTGTCTATTTGCGCCTAGGTGAGGATAGTCACATTGCAGCTATTCAGCTATTTACACAAATCTCTAGAACAAATTATCATAGATCGGGGTGTCAAACATTTTGACACCCCTATTATAAATCTCACTGCACGCTTTGATTGACTAGTACTCATCATTTTTGACTCATCAACGTCAGAAGAGGTTAGGATTAGGGCATATAGGTCATGGTTAGGGGTAGTACTAGCCAGTGTTAGGTATTCTCTGATATTAAAGTGGTAAATTTTATAAGAAAATAATCGCAAATGTATCACCAGAAAGTCAGGTGATGTGGCATAAAGTGTGACACAGTCTATAGAGGTAGTAAGACGTGATGGGTGAAAAGGTAAAAGCACAGGACTGTGACACAGGAGTCTGGGCTTCGACCCTGAGTGAGTCAGTATTTAGACTTAGCTGACTTCTTATTTTCAGTTTTTAGGATGTATAAAGCTGCTGTAAACTTAAGTAGAATAGCTGAGTAGACCCATTTATGTTAATGTCATTTTTCAGCATTGCAAGGATGCCGAGGAATATACACCCGGGGTGTAAATAGCCACATTGGCTGTTTACACCCTGGGTGTAAATAGCATTGTTGGCTATGGACACCTGGGTGCTTGCATCTGCCAAAATGCCATATACACCAGGGTTTAAATAGCCACACTGGCTATTTCACCCCAGGTGCACATAGCATTGTTGGCTACAGACACCCTGGTGCAAATTGCATCTGCCTGGTATGAATTGTAGGTGCCAGTAATAACTTGAACAAACTTTATGCTGACTGTGTGTGTGTATGTGTGTATTCTAGTGGGTATTCCATCGATAAAGTGGTGTGGTGCAGAGGGAGACTACAACGTGATGGTCATGGAGCTGCTCGGTCCCAGTCTGGAGGACCTTTTCAACTTTTGCTCCCGGAAGTTCAGCCTAAAGACTGTCCTGCTTTTGGCAGACCAGATGGTATGACACAAACCCTCTTGTAAAGTCACGTGCAGTAGAATTAGGACAGATCCACAATCCCCTCAGTTAAGATCCTATTTTGAAAAACAGTTCTGTTTACAAGTAGACGTAATATTTATGATCCCATTTGGTCATGTGCGTGACCTACTTGACTATCATTTATTTGTGCATGCTCTCGCTATCTATATCTATCTATTTATC